TTTTGTCCGGGTAAGTTAAAAATGGGTGAGCTTTTGTTCGGTGAGCTTCTGTCCGGTGAGCTCTTGTCCGGTGAGCTTTTGTCCGGGATTCGATAGCCTCCTATAATTGCCTCCTTTTGAGTTTGTGATCCGAAATCTTCATATGTACTTTTTTATACTTAATAAATATATTAAAAAGTGTAAGCTCGTTACGCATTTGTGTAACGAGCTTAATCTGTCATGTGTAACTGTAAGGGAGCAGGTGGCTCCGTCAGGCTGTTGAACAGATTTTTTCCTGTGTTTCCTCCATTCCTGTATTGAATGGAAATTAAGCTTTATCATTATATTATTATTAATATTTCTATTCGGATTTATTTGAGTACGCGGTCACGTCTGCTATCAGTCATCGTTGGTTGATCAACCGGCCGCCTTCGGGCATACACCAGTGCACAATTGGAGATAGCAGGCAGGCCATGCGCTGCTTACCACTGCAAAAACAAGCTTTTGTGATGTAATGGAAAATTCTTCTTCCGCTTCCCGAAGACCACAACAAACGTGAGTAATTAAGTTACTTCAAATTAAACTGGAAGATTTATCGAAGTCCGGCTTCATGATCGCCACTGACGCCTTAACAGACGATTATGACAACTCCACGGAGATCGCTGAGAACTTCCCGAACGGCAGAGCAGGTGTACTATTGAACACCCGGTCCCATGTAGTCGGGTGGTCAGCCAGTCAAATTTGTTATCATGCTTGCTATCAAGAACATGGAACACCTCAAAGGCATTCTGTTTAAGAACAAGAAATATTCGTACGCGAAAATGACCCCACCTTAAGACTTAGCTCGTCACTTAAGGGGTATTCACACGAGGGAAAAATCCCGGGGATTTCTTTCCGGCACGCGCGCATCACGAGACAAAAACGCGAGGCTTTTGCACATCGCAAAGCCTGACGTTCTCGTCCCGGTATGCGCGTGCCGTGGAGAAATCCTTGGGATTTCTCCCTCGTGTGAATACCCCTTTAGCAACATCAGCCGTACGTTCCACACACATTTCACTGATATATTTCACCAGAGAAGGCGTTCAGCTGAAAACGCACTTGAGGCCGCTGATTGACACTCAAAACAAAGGCACGGTGTGCAAGGATTGCCTGGACATGTACGTCAACAAGTATTCGAATTTACTTTTGAACTGCTTCGCCAAACGAGTAAATAAACAACCTGCCAAAGCCACTAGGTAGAGAAATGTGAAAACAAAAAAAAAGGACACACACTGCTAGCACGGAGCAGATTGCAGCGTGCGGCTCTTATTTACCGGGCAGTGTGAGCTGGACTACGTTATTCCTTTCCTCCGCTTTGTTCTTAGTTCCTACCAACGCCGCGAAAGCAAAGAAAGAAACGTGTAACGAGAAACTAAAAATAAGGGATGCTCTTCTTTTTTTTTTTAATAGTTTCGTCATGTTGCTTCCGCTTCGTTTGTTCTGGACTTAACACCAACGGCGAGCACCACATGCTAATTTTCAATACTCCTACTTGGAGGCATGCGGTTTAGAGAAGCGCGTTTTAGCGAACGCCGTTTTACTGACCCCAGTTTATCGAATCCCTTTATAGAGAACCCAGTTTAGAGAAAATGGCGATGAGCCTCGTTTTAGCGAATTTGGCCGCCGCGAAGCTGCGTGTACGGGTAAATCGGGTGAGTTAACAATTTTGTAATGAGCCGCTGCAGACTGCCGCCGCGAAGCGGCGGAAGCGCGGCGGGGGGGGGCGGGTTAACACGCGCAGCAGTGATGCACGCGAGAAGTAGGAAAGCCTTTTTTTAAAAAAATCGTCCGCTTTTCGATGAACGGCGTTTCTCTAAACTCAAGCTCTGCTTTCTCTAAACCGTGCTTCGATAAAACGTGCCAATTCTCTAAAACGTGCTTCGGTGAAATGGCATTCGATCAACCGTAGTAAACCCGCTCCTACCTACGCCCCGCCCCGTGCGATCGTCGTCGTTAAAGGAGCTCTTTTCTGGGTGATTTGTATCTTTGTATCGACTGCTAACTTTTTTTTGTCATTCGCCGTTGTTCGCGACTGTTACCCATTTATATTTATTTTCGTCTGGTATCCGGACCCCATCTTTTCTGCAAAGTTCGGAAAGTGTTTGCACGGTCATTTGTCTCGTTACTTTTTGTTTTTTAAAGCTGCAGAGGCTTGTGCGCTTGCTCTGGAAATTTTAACATGTTGTTTGCGCACGTTTTAATAATCACCTACCTAGGTAAGAAATTGTGGCAACGCAGTTTGTGACAGATAAACAGTAACCTCTTACGACGTAGTGGGAGTAGCTAAACACTTTTTTTCCCCGCTTCCCAGATGCGCTTCAACCGTGTGTGATCTCCCTGAGTGGCGTTTGAGACCTCTGAATAAACTGCTATATCTTTTTTCTGCGCGCGTTGTTATTTGATTGCCGTTGCAGTTGGGATCAGTGGATTCCGCTTTGCAAGCGCACTGACCGTAATGAATTGTTTCTGCTGTCGGGGTGACGAAACGGGGCACGCAAAGCTCAAGAACGTCCCATATGCTTCTATTGCGTCGTCTGCTTCCGTAGACTCCGAGTCCGCTAGAGGCGCCACTGTCACGTTCGCCGCCGCTACCCTAGGTTTTCGGAGGAGTTTCCAGCATTGACGAAGCTATATCGTATTTGGCGTGAGTTGGCGTTGAATCTTAGAAGAAATTCACCCGCGATTTATTTGTAGTTTTTTCCTCATAGATGGCGCAGATTTGGCGCTCGGGGTTGGCTCGGGTCACGTGCTCTTCGCGCCAATCTAGGCTAGCTACACGTCGAGAAATTGAGGGAGAGGAGGATTATAGAAGCATTTTTGTTCTTACAAACGCACATCACATGAATGAGATTGAAAGATCGCAGAAAACATCTGGCGGACTCCAGTAAGGGGAAGTAAGAAACCGCGTTTACGAAGTTATACGTGCTTACGCGGAGCAACTCCAACGAAAAGATCGGCGTAAAAGGCTAGACTCCATGAAACGAATATGCTGCAATAAATCGACAAATTTTGCCCGGTGGCATTCGGTTTGGGCGTAATATCAGCACAGTGGCTGCTACATCGCGCGGAAAGCAAGCGTGCCGTTGAGCGACGTTCGTCAGTTATTCGTTGCATAATTTGCTTCATGGAGTTCAGCCTTATAAAAAAAACGATTAGTTTAACGCTTCACAGCAGGCTACCAACACATTCCCACTTCATCACAAGGCGGCACGATGATATGTATCACATTTCGTTGCCTGTGCGATGATGCATCTATAGTGATGTCCGGAGGTCTATCGATACCTTTGCCGCACGAACCAGTAGGGATATGGCTATCAAAACAAGCGCGAGCCGCCCGCTATTGGCGTCCGCTCTCGTCGGGACCAGGCGGAACTGCGTCACCTTCCGGAAGGAGAACTCTTTGACTCCAGAAGCCCCAAGTCCGAGGACAGAGCTCCGGAGTTTGACTCGAGTCTCGAGCACCGAAAGTGCACGTGGCGCGTTCAATGGGAGGAGTGACTCGAGTCATTACTCCGAGTCTCTACTTAACGCACCCATTTTTATCCACTGTAGATGAGAAATTTAGCCAGTGCAGCATGAGTTCTAGCCTGGGGTCTTTAACGCGCATTACACAATACTGATACATGACCGCACGCCGGTACGATGCTCATCCAGATAGAGACGGCAAACACCCCATACCTCCACGCTCAAACGACTAGATCAAAGGACACAAAAAAAAGTCTTTCATACCGCGTCCAGGGTCCTGGGCGACCGGCGCTGTAGTGTTGCGCTCGTCGCAGCTTCGCCTCTTGGCGCCTCCAGATTTCGCCACCGCGGAACATACGCGCCGACAGCTGTCAAATGTTTGTTTTTATTTTGGTGTTTATGCTCGCTGCACAAAAACGCGAAATACACATATTTGTTTTATTATTATTGAACTTTTTCTTGTCGTCGCTGCTGTTTGTTTAGTCAAAACTGAGCCGCTGGCGCCACCGTCGCGAATATTTATTTACTTCTTGCCGCCACGCGCAAGAGGGCGCGGTTCACATTTATTAATGCCGAACCGTTTCTAACGAGCCAGTAACCGCCACATCAGATTACAGTTCCGTGAATATCAAATGTTTAATTTCTGTTACAGTTTTGTTTTGGTTCAAATAAAATGATGATTTTGCAACGGCTTTCGGTTCTGATTCGGTTCGACACGCTGGTTAAAAGCTACATGTTAATCGAATATGATTACTACACCAGCTTTGTCACGTCTCGCGGCGCTAGGAACGACACCTTGTCCGTTTACAACTATTCAGTTTTGGTTGGTTCACTGAGGGCCCGTCATTTTCATCCTTGAAAGAGCATAAGCCAGTCTGCGACAATCAAGCCATCAGTCATCTCCAGCGCAATGATGCTGTTTCGAGAGCCACTTGCCATGCGCTACCGAACTGCGCCATGAGCCCGTGGGTCCTATATGTAAATCGACACAGCTCGCAAAAGAAGCGAACCCGCGAGCCCATTTCATTTTCACTTCATTCCAGGCAAAAAAAACATATAATTATATTCCCATTCGATTCTTCCGAGTGCTGCCGACATTTTATTCCGATTCCATCTGGGGTGGCAAAAGTGCGGATTCGGAATCATTCCAACTCCGGAGTGGCAACTCCGGAACGCTGGTTCACACTCCATTTTGTAGCACCAACCAAGGTACACGCTCTCCACTCACCTAGAAGTTCAAGCTGGCTTCAAAATCCGCGCGCGCATTGGCTTCCGCCCCGTGACGTCGACTTCCTTTCGACTTTGTCTTTTACTACTCTCCTCCACTCTACGCGGCGGGCTTCCATTTCTACTGTTTTGTCCACGGATGGACGCCGTCAGCTTTTCTCTGTCCTATGGGTACTACTAATGCGAACGCAATAAAAAGCGCGAGCCCGATCTCTTGCACTATTTTTTTTCTTTACATACGACATTTATACCTCTAACCGGCATACATGATCTCTACCTAACATTGCCCACTACACCTGGAATGAGTTCGAGCGAGTGTTGGAGAATATTTTGAAACGAATAAATAGATGATAATCTACCGTTCCACTTCAAGATCGACCGACGCAGCCGACACAACCACCATCCGATGTAGAACATCGAGCAGCGCCGAACATCCATTGTCATGGCGCTCGTTGTCTATACGTGGCTCTGATATCAGCGGCTAAACCAATCACGCAAAGAAAAAAACGCGGGATGGTGGCGCGTTAATTCACCGTGCCCATTTTGGTTTAGTTGGTGATAGCAAGCGCGCAAGGACGACGCGTGCCGTGACGGTGCGCTTTCGGCGCAGCTTGATTCGCTCCGTCGAGTCGTAGCGTCGGCTGCGGTTGAGCCGAAAGCGAAAAGGAGCATAGAGTAAGTTCCCTCACCAGATTTCGGATGTTGGCAAGCCTCTCGAGGCGGCAGTCGGTGTAGTCTGATGTCCCCCAGAGACCCGAGCTGTAGCAGGGTCGGTAGACGGCACCCTGGTATCCCCCCGGGCAAGGGGCCGTCGCCACGAGGCCGCCCTCGGTCTGGTTCCACTGTAGACCGGTCGACTCGGAGCCCGCGTCGCACCGAGTCCCCACCTGACCCATACGGCAGCACCGTTAACAAACATGGAGTGTACGCTAATAGCGTTATTATAAACATACACCGATACAAATAAACATATTGGAAGAAAAATAATAAATACAAATGTACCCCACAGCCGGAATGGAAATGAAGCCACCCGAATGTAAAATTATTATTATTCACATCCTTATTCCTATCAATACAAGATATATCCTATCTGAAACCGAAGCTCGATTATCTCGCGGCATCACACAAATAGCCGGAATATTCCGTTTGTAACGCCTGTCCTTTTTTTCTTCGCCTAATCTCCTTTCGGACAAACAATGCCTACCCTGGCGTCCTTTGCAACTAGACACCAAGGAAGAGAGCTATACACAAATTCAGTTTCTTTGCTAAATTTGGCGTGAAAATTGACGTGAAGTGACCTTACTTCACGGGACCTATACCCCACTTTGTTTTCACCGCCACATTTGCCGGGGAAATTGATGTAACGTGACCTATGCACCAAGTAAGTTTCCTCCTCAATTAAGAGAGGAAATATATTTAAAAAAAAAAGGTTTTTACTCACTTCCTAAAACGACTGCTTAATTCCCGTTAAACAAATCTAAACGATTGCTCCTTAAGTATTGCAATCAAGCATTATAGGAATTGAAAAATAAAGTTAGCAACTATTTATTTCCTTTTTTTTTTTAACAGACGCAGTACAAACGTTTGGAGTACCTGGATAGCGGGATAGTCCTCCTCGGCCGGGGATTCGGTGGTTGTGAGCGAGGGAGCAGGGGGCACCCTGCCGGCACTGACACGTGGTGTCGGATTCTCGCTGGAAGAGTGCCCATTCCCGGAAGCTGCCTGGTTGGACCGCCCGGCCATCGCGGCGACGTTAAGCCGCACAGCTGCCTTCGCCGGAGGATCCGATGGCGGCGCGCTCGTTACAGCAGCTGCTGCTGTTGCCGAGGCATTCGTCCGCGAATCTCGGGAGGACTCCTTGCCAGGTTTAGAAGTGGAGTCGCTCGTCGAGTTGGAACCCTGAGTGATATGGGCAAGAGGAGAAGGTCAATGCAATTCCTAGTTGCGTTTGGTGCATCAGGTATGCGAATCACTTTTTCTGTCAAAGTGAAGTGATATTCCACAACGAAAATTGGCATAGAAAAGTGCGTGCAATAATTGCAAGATGGATTGAACCAACTGGTATGGTCAGGCAGCCCCGCGCTCATGTAGCGTGGTGTTAACAAATGAGCTCCACATAAGAAGCACAAGCTATTAGGAGGAAATCGAGTATAATCTTCTGGAATTGAAGGCAACGTTTTAGTGCGAAATAAAACCTGAAGATTTGTTTTCAGAGTAACATCAGACGCCAACTCCGAAGATGTTATTTTAGTGCTATGACAAGCAAACCTACCCGTCACTATTTGCTTCAATTCAGGCGGTCATTTCGAGCATTGGAAACGAGAATGCTTATGCACCGAGAAAGTGAGGAAGAGAAGGCGCGAGCGAGCGGGAACTTCAGGAAACTGAGCTCTGTTTGAATTGATTAGTGGGTAGACCTAAATCTTGCAGCCTTTGTGTCCATTACGATGCTGCAGGAGCGCGTCTTCGACTTGTGTGTCTAGCGCCCTATACTGCCCATACATCAAAAGTGCTCCCGAAGTGGCTAAAAGTGACGTCACAAAAGCTGAAGTGCCCTGCTGTTGCGTGTCGCGATCCTGGCGGTTGGACGTAGAAATGCTAACGAGAAGCTGCGAGCAGCACTGCGAGTGCAGCTGTCGTCATGACGTCCCCACTTCTGGCTGCCAATGTTTCCGTGGACTGCCACACTGGAGAGCGACCTGCAGGAGGACAGGTGTCTGTCACGCACACCACAGCTGTTGGGACGCAGCCAAGATCGCGACTGGTGAGAGCACGACACTTCTATGACGTCATCAGGCGGAGATCAATGGACCACTTTTTTGGATGCGGTAAACACCCCAACACCTCCACTGCACTAGTCGACCGCGCTAGAACGCGGAACGCAGACGTCCGGCGTTTGGCTCTCGCATTCGAACGCGTTGGGCGAGTGCAGCGAAGACAATGGCAGCTACCTTTAGGTTGGCCTAGAGTCACTGAGTGTTTCCAGAGTGCCGAGTTCTATTTAGCCCGCTTACCGGAAGTTCATCCCGCAGAATTCAGTTCTGCCTGACTGGTTTAGCCCGTAGCGGAAGTCATCAGTCGGCCATTTTGGAGCCAGACCCATAACAACGAAAAACGTGCTTAAAACATTTTGGCGTTACCACGGCTAGGGCGGATACGCACGTGTGGGAGCTCTGAGCATCGATGAGTTAGGACCAAACGGAAGGTGAGTTGATTTTCTCTAAGTTTTGTTTATATCAAGTATGCACTAAATTGGTTCGCTAAAGAAGACTGCCGGCCCGTTTGCTCGCTCCGGTTGCGCTTGTGCTGCGTTTCAAACTACGCCCAATGCGCTAAGCCTAACATTGGATTTCGATGTGTTTCGAGGGGAGAGAAAGAGACTAGACAGCGAGAAGCTCTTAACGAAGGAAAGAACTTTAATAATAACAAACCAGTGTCGCCACAGATTAAGCAAGTGGATTAAAGAGCTCGCCGAGGACGAACGCCCCACTGTACACGCCTCGCTTCGACCGTACAGTACAGCGCCTTTTTGGAGACGGGCTGGAGCATGACTGTTGCGACGCGACTCGGTTCTAAAACGAAGCTTGGGAGTTTCGGTATTCTGGGAACATTCAGTAACTCTAGGTCTGCCCACTAATCACTCGAATCACAATCTGGTGTTCTGACGTCACCGCGCGCTCTCGCTTCCTTCTCTCCTTGAGTTTCTCGGCGCATTGAGCTGTTCTCCGCACTAGCAGCGACTAACAGCATCTACTACCGAATTGTAAAGTCTTATCTTTGGCAAGTTACTTGCTCAATCACATTTTCGACGTGCCAGTGGGCTGTACAAATATAAAAACGACTAGGAAAATACTATCCTGAATACATTTCAGTAAGTTTTACTTTTATTAGTTTCCACGCCACTGAGCAAAGAAGGGTGTACTTCCAATTAGAACTCAAAACTTATCGCAAGTGGGTACGGGCTCGGAACATCCATGCCAAGGTTCAAAAACAAATTAGTTGCACCAGGGTTAAAAAAGAAAAATGGCGGGCTACGTGTTAAAAACAGAAAACTTGATAACGCGAGTCGGTGTGCAATTATTGTTATTATTAAAGGATTTTAAAATGTTGACTATTCCTGCATCGAGTCTGCTCTAAGTCCTAACACTTTTAGAAGTCTGCAGCCAATTGAAAAAAAAACGTTGCAGTAGCGTTATCTTTTTCACTTTTCTTTTTACGTGACAGTTGTGATTGTTAGGGGGATCTCAAGGAAGTTGCAAAGGTGACTGCTTTGCACTTTATATTGTGTTTGTGAGCTGAAACAAACATGAATGCTGCGTTCTCATTTTGCACTCTAACTCACACGGGGAACATTAAACATTTTCAGTTTATGCACGAAGAAAGGAATGTCCAACAAATGCACGAAACAACGTATGTCCAACAAATGCACGAACAACAAATGTCAGTAAAATGTATGCCTATTTGTAAATTCTCTTCTATGGTTCTAATTATTAAGTCTAATCATCATGAAACTGACAACAACCATCGCCACGTTTCTTTACTTTGTGTTTTTTTTTTCTTTTAATGTCGCTGCACAAACGTTTTTTTCGAGATTAGCTTTATAAAACAAATCATCGTGAGGAGCAAGATTCTTAAACAGAACGCCAGTAGAAAAAAATTGATGGGCAGTTTTCGGTTATGCTGTGCAATTACTGTTTAAGGCCGCGAACAAGTTGATGTGGTATACTTTGACATTTCAGGAGCGATCTACGCGTATAGGGTCAATCATGGTACGCTGGCGCGTAAACTGGATGATTTGGGACTGTGTTCACTTAATTGCAATTATTTATGCGCAATTTGTCTGTTCTCATATATAACGAACTCGCGATTTTGTATTTATATGGAATGAAACCAAGCCGCATCCACAGCGTTCAGATCCAGCATGCTGAATGGAAGAAATCTAACGTGCCATTCACCACCACCAAATCCTGAAATTGTCCTAGTACCTGTTGAGGTTCTTCAACATCAACAAGCAACGTCATGGAAGGTCACCTAATCGAGCGTGCTAAAACGTCAAGGGAAAATGCTTACGGGGCGTAATAACAGTGATAAATAAGAAAACACCACCTAGGAACCAAATCAAAGATCGTCTATAACAACACCAACCTCGTCAGGATGACGTGCATCGGAAATATTCAGCCATCCAAAGAGTTCTGACCTTCGACAACCACACCACCTTCACGTCGGCCGCGACCTGAATCACATCAGCAAGAAGATATGAGCCAAAAAAAAAAAGGCTCCAACGTTTTTGTTTTTTTCTTTTGGCCCTGAAAGCCATTCTGAATGTATCCTCTCGAGTCATAAACTTTCCAGAAGTTAGGGCCTTCCTTGCAATGGAACACCTGCTACAGTCGTCAGAAGATACTTGAAATAACAGATATATGATCCCAGCTAATGAAAGATTTATAAGAATGCTACTGGACGTTTCCAGATAAGATCAAACAACCATGTTTAAAGACCATTTTTAATTTTGATGAAAAACATATGTTGCTGGCTCCATGCCAAGCAAAATAAAAACTATCCTTGTTCCATGCCCAGAACCTGAGCCTGTGCTGCCTGTGAGCGCCAACAGATCCACCCTGGAGAACCACACAAGGCAATATATATATATTGCAAAAAATAATAATAATAATCGAGATTGAATGAGGTTGTCTCTAACTTAATATATATGACAACGATTTGGAGAATTGCGACATCCAATTTGGGCATGCTCATGTTACCTACGTCAGTGAGGGTGCAGCAAGACACTATAAGAACAAATATAAACTACACGAGCTGCAGAGCAACAAGTACACATCAGCGAAGTGGATTTTTTCCGTGACATTACATGGCAAAAGTGCCTGCGATGGAATCAGGAGTCGTGTCAAGCACTAGGCAACGGTGTACAACCTCCGACGGCCCACAACGTCGATGATCAAGTCGGCGTCAGAGATGGTTGTCCCACTGAACACTAAACTGCCGAACGTGAAACTAATCCACCTCCTGAAAGCTGACGTCAAAACGTTCAGAGACATGAAAGCAAAGGAGTGGTACTCTGTTTCCGTCGTGCGTGGATTTCAGTCCTGTCACCTGTGGCAGTGTACGCGGTCGGACACTTCACAACCACAGCTGTTTTAGGAAGAACAGTAGACGCAGAAAAGATATGCCTTTGAAAGTAAAGTCTCCTATGGCTGTGAAAAGAAGATCGAGGTCGGGAGCTAGCGAAGAAACGAACTGTGATCGCTACAGGAAAAACGGGGAAAAAAATGTTCCTCCTCGGAGTGCCAGGAGAGCATCTTAACCAACTCAGGTCAGCGTACGGCAGAAAGAATCCACGCGACAAGCACCGAATGTGCGCACAGGATCTTGATTCATTAAACTGGTTTCAATAGTACCATTTTAAACAAGAGTTTTTTCTTATCACCATTTAAACATGGTCATCAGCAGCCCAACCTCCCTACGAAGGGTGGGCTCCGAAATTTACTGATCCGCGAAATCTGTATTTAAATCGTTGACTTGTGCTTCAAACTCACCTGTAATCTTTCGAATGAATTCTTATTTTTCACGAACTCCTGTCACAGTGCTTTCCCTTCACAGACTTCCTGGATTTTTCGACCCCTTTCTTGCCTTTGTTTGCGATATGCAACCTCCTATCTTTCTCTACTCCCGTTACGGCAATACTTTATATTTAGCGCTCTGTAAAATAAAATAAAAAAGTTAAATAAAAAAATATTGAAAATAACTTTTGAAGGTCCTGATAGGAAACATTATGGGCCTTGATCTGTGAAAAGTAGAAGAAAAATTAAGATGGCCTTCATTTTAAACTGATTTTCCAATTATTGACAAATCGGAAACCTGTCTACATTTCAGTGGATTTTTTT